TATCAGCATGGCACATCTTGACTTGGCAATATTTGCCCCTCTTCCTTGCAAAAACACTCCAAATCTGTCAGATTGCGAGGGAATCTCCTGTGCACAGCCCTCTTCAGATCACCCCACAGATTTTCGATCGGATTCAGGTCTGGGCTCTGGCTGGGCCATTCCAAAACATTAATCTTCTTCTGGTGAAGCCATTCCTTTGTTGATTTGGATGTATGCTTTGGGTCGTTAGAAAGCTGAACATAAAGAGGAACTTCATCTTTCAGCATGACAGCAGAAGCCTAAAGGTTTTGTGCCAATATTGACTGGTATTTGGAACTGTTCATAATTCCCTCTACCTTGACTAAGGCCCCAGTTCCAGCTGAAGATAAACAGCCATAACGCATGTTGCTGCCACCACCATGCTTCACTGTGGGTATGGTGTTCTTTTGGTGATGCGCAGGGTTGTTTTTGCACCAAACATATCTTTTGGAATTATAGCCAAAAAGTTCAACCTTGGTTTCTTCAGACCATAACATTTTCACGCATGCTTTTGGGAGACTTCAGATGTGTTTTTGCAAAATTTAGCTGGGCCTGGATGTTTTTCTTCATAAAAAAAGGCTTCCATCTTGCCACTCTACACCATAGCCCTCACATATGAAGAACACGGGAGATTGTTGTCACATGTACCACACAGCCAGTACTTGCCAGATAATGCTGCAGCTCCTTTAATGTTGCTGTAGGCCTTTTGGCAGCCTCCCACACCAGTTTTCTTCTTGTCTTTTCATCAGTTTTGGAGGGATGTCCAGTTCTTGGTAATGTCACTGTTCCGCCATATTTTCTCTACTTGATGATCACTGTGTTCCATGTTATATCTAATGCCTTGGAAATTCTTTTGTACCCTTCTCCTGACTGATCCCTTTTAACAATGAGATCTCTCTGATGCTTTGGAAGCTCTCTGCAGACCATGGCTTTTGCTGTAGGATGTGATTAAGAAAATGTCAGGAAAGACCTACTAGAACAGCTGAACTTTGTTTGGGGTTAATCAGAGGCACTTTAAATGATGGCAGGTGTGTACTGACTCCTATTTAACATGATTTTGAATGTAATTGCTTAATTCTGAAACACAGCTACATCCCCAGTTATAAGAGGGTGTGCACACTTATGCAACCACATTTTAGTTTTTTTTATGTCTACTCCCCCCCTAAAAGATTTCAGTTTGTTTTTCAATCGAGTTGTCCAGTTTATAGGTCACATTAAAAATGGAAAAAGTTCTGAAATGATTTATCTTTGTCTCATTTTTCTACACAGAAACCTGACATTTTAACAGGGGTGTATAGACTTTTTGTATCCACTGTACAATATGCAAGGACAGCGAGGGCCTATTCACAACCCAGAACACTATACTTATGCAAGCCATACATGAGTCGAATTCCAAACAAATTTTCTTTAGAAAATCGGAAATTTCATGCATTTTGTAATCCGATGGTACCACAATTGATTTTGAAATTCAACCAAGCAAGCCTTCAATTTCTCCTCATGTTGCTACAGAAAAGAATTCTCATGGCCAAGAATTTTCTTTTCTTTCCAGGTCACAGCTTTATATTTCTCGCACGATTCTCCCATCAATTCTAAATTCGTTCATTTTTCAAAAAATTTTCAACACGCCGATCACTCAGATTTGATGGTCACACGAAAATTGGCCGTTTCTGTGGCCCACTAATGGGGTGAAATTTGAACAAAAAATTCTTAGAAAAGATTTTTGAAATACATTTTTTTTTTCGGAATTCGACCCATGTATTATTTATTCTTCTTTTTTTTTTTTTTTTTTAATATGGAGTCATTGACCCCGGTAGGTTATGTAGGTCAGGAGTTTAAACTTCCAGGTCAGGTCAGTGACAAACAGCGAAGCAAGAATGAAGATGACCAGCCCTAGAGTTTGCACTATTAGAAATTAGTAAGCAGTGGCATCACGCATGGAGTATTTTGACCTGTTGACTTTAACTGTATGAAGTTTGGGGGTGGTTACCTTTATAAACCTCTCAAGTCATGAAGGATCATGTGTCACAAACCCTACAAATCTGCACTATTTCAATGCAGTCTAACTCACTTTTCCACTTTCAGTCTTCAAGGCCACACAAAGCTTTATGCACATGCAAAGCAAAGATGCACACGCATTCCTAGTACACTCGGAGCTCCCTTGGCACAGAAGGTTTTACGAAACCAAAATCAATGAAATAAAGATCAATGCTCTGAATCATCTGCTTGGCATTTGTTAACGGGAACACAATCTACAGCATTTCTGTATAATGCGCTCTCTGTAAATTTTTAACTACTTAACAAAACATTGGGACCTGTAGCAAATGCTGTACATGTAGTAAATCTAGTGCACACATGCTTTCATTGAAGCAGTGCATATGTTCATGTCTCCACATATGAACACAGGTATACTGGTAGACTGAGGAGAGTACTTATTTAAAAGGGCTACAATATTGTATATTCCCTTTGTGAAGAGAACAGACATGTACGTACTTCAAAGGAATCTTTAGGCACTGGTGATAGAAAACCTTCATCTTATGTACCATAAATGCAATATAATAGCAACTATAGATAATGAAAATACCATGACTTTTGCTTTATTTCAGAAACTCGTGCTTTATTCCATGAGACAAAATGTGTGATTGTCCTTAACATACATATAACTATGAAAATGAACATGCCACATATACTGAATTAAGATATCAATAATATCCAAAAAATAATTCTGTCAACATCTACATATGTGGATCATACAAGATTAATGGTCTTTGTTACTCCATAGTGAACAGTCAGCTACTACTTTTTGGTTTTTCCACCGTCTCTAGCAGCAATATAGTAAGAAATGGATTGCAGTAGGATCCACATTTCTTAGCATGCCAATGGCCCCAATTCATTTAGTTCAAGGCATGCTAGAGTGGTTTTCAATCATTATCACATTCAATATTAACTGCTTGTTTGGTGGCTTTAGAATGCATTACAATGCCACTACAGCGTGATAAACCAGCCTCAATGGGTTTTATTTACTAAAGGCAAATAGGCTGGTCACTCTGCAAGGGAATTTGCAACAGAGCTTAGTGAATGAGGAGAAGCTCTGCTGATATTATCCAATAATGTACAAGCAAAACAGGTTTTATTTTGCTTGTATATAATTGGGTAATCTTTCCAATGGAATCCTCAACACATTTACTATGTTACCCCTGCAAAATTAACAGCCTATTTGGGTTTAGTAAATCAATCCCAATGACTAGAATATTATATGTGTAAATCCTATATGCTACCACGGACACTGCCTACTATATTTTTGACTATAGATTATGCTGCCAACACTATAAGTTTCCCTGATATAGATCATTAAAGCATTTACCATCATAATTTTGTACTAGCCATTTAGGCTGCAATATTAAGTCAATTGCACATTGTAACATAGTGTTACAAGTACCTTTCCCTGTGAAATTGTATGGTACACAGTTCAGAAATCAAAAACTATAGGTAGTAATTTACACTTGGAAAGGACATTTAAATTAGTTCCCTTTCACACAGGTGTTTTGCATGTCAGTTTTTCATCTGTTTAAGGATGAAAGAAGAGAACCCATGTATTTCTATGGACAAGCGGATGTAAATGGATGATCATCTGTTTGCATCCGTTAATATCCGCATCTGTTAACATCCGTTTTTGTGAACAGAAGAAAACCCTTTTTTTTCCTTACGTAAAAAAAAACCAAACCAGAATAGATGAAAAAACGGATGTAAAATGGACATATGGTCCGTTTTTGCATTAGTAAAGGATGTAAAAAAATGGATGTAAACAGAAAACCGATGTGGACGGATGAAAAACCCGATGTGAACGGATGAAAAACCCGATGTGAACGGATGAAAAACCCGATGTGAACGGATGAAAAACCGATGTGAACTGATCCATTTTTTCTTGGAAAAAAATGTGACCGAACTGATGAAAAAAAAAATGGAACACCCGTACGAAAGGACCCTAAAGGCAAAAGCTCAGTGGGACAAACAACAAACTGTAAAGCTGTACGCCTTTATTAGACTGAGGACAGTTATTGAGATTTACTGATAGTTTCTATATGTAAAATATCTTCATTGTTTATTTGAAACAGAAAAGATTTAGCAGGTCAGGAGTTCCCAGGAAAACTAAACCTAAAAAGGCACTTTAAAAGTAAAACAAAATCTTCACAGAAGTGTAGAAAAATTGAGAGCATTATATAAAACGTATGCAAAAATGTCAACACAAAGCACAAAATCTGAAGTGCAAAGTGCAGAAACATACAGATACCTACCAGATATCATCTTCGATCATTCAAAGATGAATCTGACTGGTACCTATGGGCTACTTCATTGTGGATTTTTGAATTGGTATCTAAAAGTGAAAGGGTGACATTCTGCAGATGTGCTTGCTTTCACTGGTCTATTAAAAGTAAGTGTACACTTAGCAGTCTGAAGATATAAATGGTTCATAGACTGGTTTATGAAAGATCCTTTGTAGACTAGCACTCCTATCACATGTCTATTTTTCCATCTTAACATACCGGTAAATATAGGATTCCCATCAATATCCACATGCATTTCCTGTGCCTGGAATCATTTAAATTTTATATAGTTTAAATGTGTATGTCTAGCCTCAATTACTTACAAGGACTATTGGTTTTGAAACAGATTTGTGATTGTTGCAAGCAGCCTCATTAACCAGATTGGCCTTTTTAGGTTTAGTCATCCTCAGTATTTCTGTGACTAAAATTCAGTGCCTCAGGGTGAACTGAACCTGCCACAAAACAAAATGCTACGGCTCTGCTTATGGGTGATAAAGAAAAGAAAGGGATGGTCACAGTATATCTTTGGAACAATCATTATACAACGCATCATCATAATTCCTGCTGTGGCAGCAGCTGCCTCTGTACCCTCCTCGTTTACATCTATGAATGATTTGTGGACTACTTTAGAAAGCGCTAGTTCGTTATTACTAGACATTCCCGAGAAGTCCGCTTTGCATTGGTCAAAAGCATCAGCCATCCCCATGTCACTAAGTACAGACTTCAGGTCAAAACTGTCTTCTAGCTTAAACTTTGGTACAAACAACTCCATTTCTGTTATGTCCATCATTTCTGGATTTGTCCACTCCAAAAATTTACTATATGTTAACTCTTTTTCAAGCTGAAAAGAACAAAACAGTATAGCAATTAATTTAAAAATAATTCAGTACACTACTAAACAACCTGAAAGCCATTCCCATAAGCCAGCTATATGATTTCAGTGTTACAAAACATTATAATAATTCAAAGGCGTCAGCCCCTGCATTTACCTCTCCTCTTTAAAAACCATTTCTTGATCCCCCAATGGCCAGCTTGTATATGGCTGAGCAGATCATACAGTATGTAGAGCTACAATTCTAAGAGCCCAAGACCCTTCACTTCCCCTAACATTTTTAAAGATGCTTTGCTTTTCATTGAATAATTGCTGTTTCTGCAGACTCTGGCTCAGCCAACGTTGAGGTTGGTAATACTAAATCACCAAGTTTCAAGGGAATTATATGGAACACATGGAAAATATTAAAACCAAAAGGAAAAACATTTAGGCTCCGTGCACACTGGGCATTTTAATAACGCTGATAACATTAGCTGTGTAGTCATATTAAAAACTTGATTTTTTCTGCGGTTTTGTATTAGCGTTTAGTGCTGTTTTTTCACATCTGCATTTTTTAGTTTTATTTGACCCCCAAAAAAATTTTTTGCTGCGTTTTTCAGCGTTATGGTGTTTTTACAGCTAAAAAAACTCTTCTAGAAACCCACTAGTTCTGGGTTTTTTTTCCCAGCCAAAAAAAATTTTGATTACAGTCTGTGTGTACATGGACACATAGGATAACGTGCTGGGGAGTTTACTGGCTGTAAAAAAAACAAAAAAAAACCATCAAAAGCCAAACAGCCGCTGTAAAAACATCCAGTGTGCATGAAGACTTAATGATTGCCTTTCAACCAACTGAAAAAACTGCAGTTATATGGGTACAGCAGGTATCTAGTACAATGAAAGGATAAGCAACACCTTTGCCATAATATAAAGCAAATTGCACAAACATAATGAAATACCAGGTACAGCAAGATAGTTAAAGGAAGCAGCATATGCAGAGTTTTAAATGACTACAAATAGCAGCTTTTATTGTTTTAGAAGCACATTGTTTAATATGACACCTTTAGGCTAAACCTTTAACTGCTATAATCTATACAATAGTCGGTCCTATAAGACCATTCAATAAAAATCAAGATCCTAGGAGGGTACTCCTTGATCCTTCATAAAAAGTCAAATACCTCAACAGAGATTACAATGAAGAAGTTTCTTACCTTTTCCAAGCCAGTGGTTTTATCCTGAATTTCATCAGGGAGCAGTATAAACATACTCAACTCATTATTCACATAGGGCAGTTCAATAACTTTTGTGAACAAATCTCCCACGTAGGTCATTGGAAACTTGGCTTTTTTGTACATCATCTGCACAGGCTTGGTTTCATTCTAACAACAGAAAGCCACGACTGCATTACAACTCATGTCTGCACAGTCTCAAAAAACATACATCGTTAACGGCTACAGCTAAACAAATGACCCAGTTAAAAACAAAGCAAAAAACGTTATGAAATGACGTAAGCTACGTCAGGTGATGTTTAGGAATTAGCCTCTTGAATATCATTCTGCTGGGGGGAATTTCAGTATAAGCTCTATAGTTTAACACCCAAATGACCAGGGGGGTAATGCATACCTTTATGAGCAATACTTGCCATTTCATACCTTTATGAGTAATACTTGCCATTTCATACCTTTATGAGTAATACTTGCCATTTCACAGTGTTCAGATTTAGCTAGTAGCTTTTTTGCAGCTTTGTGTACAGTATTTGCACAACAAATAGTTTGCTTTTGGCAGAATACGTGCTTTATATGAATAACATTTTAATTGAGGTTTACTATTTACAGAAACAATTCAGAGAAATTATAAAACCTTCTTTAATTTCTTCAACAAGCATTTGCAAATAGACATTTTTTTCTGTCCAATTACAGCTCTCAATATATTCTGTCAGTTGTCTTAGTTACAAGATACCAAACGAATGCATTAATTAACCATAGTCCTAATCTAACCCTAGTCTACATTGTGGAATAATAGTGTACCTTAGATTTGCCCATTTCCTGCTACAGTGTGTATCAGAAAAATGTTTCTTCCACATCTATATGGCCAGTATTTCTGACAATGTGGCTGTGCATAACAGCCATGTTAGGTTGGAGGACAACAGCAGCTGAGTGGGGATACTGGTGCAAAAATAGTCAGAACATCTGGATTTTTGGAATGCTCTAGAGATTGGACTGCAGATCTAATGCCAGATTATTAGGGTGTTGAAGTCTCCATGTATATTCATATATGGCAGGTGGATACATTGGGGTGTGGATCCCTCTGATTCTTTCATATGTAAAGGCTGGTACACACTGGCCAAATATCGGCCGGTATCAGCTGGTTCAACAGAACTGGCACGCGGAAATGTGAAATGGCTGTGAGCATTGACTGCTGTGTTCTGGCGGGGGGGCGGCAATCCCCCTGTCATAACACAATAGCTCAGTGGGGAGATTGCTGTACCAACTTGATTAACTGGACTTAAATAGTGCGATTGCCTCACTGTGTTGTCAGGGATGTGCTTTACAAAAATGATTAGTGCTTTGAACTCAGTGCTCATGATTAGTGCTCAGGACTCAGTAGCCATTGCAGCACTATTAAAATGATGTGTTAAAAGGACACGTTCACCTTATTTAACGTTACACCTTTATTCAGGGTGTAAAATTGTACAGATTTATTTCAGGTACTTATATAGCGCTGTCAATTTACACAGCGCTTCACCTGTATATATTGTACATTCACATCAGTCCCTAACCCTCAAGGGGCGTACAATCTAAGGTGCACTGTTCATCGCTCCTGATCCCCTGTTTTGACATCTAGTGGGAGAACCCCCTCCCCCTGCTGACTGTCTCAATCTGAAAAAAAATTTAGGCTCCTCCCGCCCAGCCACATCATTCAAAGTGTTGTGTGAATGGGAAAACTTCAAATTCTCAATGAACTACCAGGAGCACTGTTGAGCCCTCTAGGTCATTCACGGAGCTTACAGCCAGTGTGTAACCGCCGGCCCGTATCTTGTGGGTGCAATGCTTTACAGCAGGGGTGTCCAAACTTTTTTCAGAGAGGGCCAGATTGGATGAAGTGAACATGGTGGAGGGCCGAACATTTTTCCGAACATTCTTTGAACCATTACAATTAAATACAAATAAATTATTTTATGCCAAGTTAATTTCAAACGACATACTTTTCATTTCATAACATTAAGATCAACTGACAGCTGAGTTTTCACAATGTATTGAAAATAAATTAAAAAAAAAAAAAAAAAAAGAAAGAAACTTACCTGCACTAATGTGAAGGGTGAAAAAAGGTAGCTGGAGCTGAAGTCTCTGCTCGGCAGCCGGGAGGGGAAGAGAAACACACTTCACGCTGAAAGCCCGGCCCTGACGTCACCGCCCTCTGTCGCTCCCAGCGCGGCGCAGTCACGCATGCGCACTGCTCTCAAGCAGAAGACTGTCTGCCACAGAAGGGAGGGCCGTGCGACAGCCGCATTTACACAGACCAGGGAGAACGCGCCGCAGTCAGGCATGCGCACTGCCCTCTGCTCTCAAGCAGAAGACTGTCTGCCATAGAAGGGAGGGCCGTGGGAGGGCCACATTACACAGAGCAGGGAGGGCTGTTGGAGGGCCGTATTAAACCGACCCCCGGGCCCTAAATGGCCCACGGGCCGGACTTTGGACATGCCTGCTTTACAGGGTCCCAGCAGGAAAAAAAAAAAAAAAAAAAAAAAAAAAAGAAGGTGTGCCTGATACAATTAAGAACTACATGATAAAACGCAGGTGCACCATGGTCTGTAGTTTATGAATCTGCAGTGTTTAGCAGGAAGTGGTTAGTGATATCCATTCTCAATTATAAATGGGCTCTGCAGTTTGCATTTAATTCTCTAAAAATTCTTGGTGCTATGGGAACTAAAGTAGTTCTTTCCTAGGCTGCTTCCGCTACTGTGATTCCAAGTAATCACTTGGGGTTACAAAGTATCTTGATCCATACTTAAAAATGCATACCTTATTCAATTTAAAGGGCATTTCTGATGTATGCTGCTTGTCAAACTGGTTTGCCCAATTTCCTTTGAAGTAGATAGCATTGACTAGTACAAGTCTAGTAAGTGAATCCACACTGCCGCTCGGTAACAGGTCCTGGATTTTACCTAAATAAGATTTGAAAATTGTCAAACAAAATCAGCATTGTACATTAAGAGGTGTACACAATGTATTTATACATATTCATACTAGTGAAGACTGTGCTTCCTATTCCTGAGGATGCAGAGAAAAGATGTAAACCTACAACAGAGTACTAAAAACTATGAGTGGATGTACCGTATTTTTCGCTCCATAAGACGCACTTTTTTCCCCCCAAAAAAGGGGGGAAAATGTCAGTGCATCTTATGGAGTGAATAAAAAGCGGCCGGTCCGGTATTTTTCTGCCGCCACCATGTCAGAATACTGGGCTGGCCGTTCAGCTGTTCTCTCCTGCAGGGCCTTACCTGTTCCTCGCTCCAGCTGTACAGTCTTCCCGCGCCGACTTCTGTGACAGCCGGGTGCCCACTGCTCATGCCCTTCGCTTTGTGAATGGTCCGGTGTCTTCTGGGACACGACAGGTCCCAGAAGGCGCCGGGCTATTCACAAAGCGCAACGCTTCTCGCGCATGCGCAGTGGGCACCCGGCTGTCACAGAAGCCGGCGCAGGAAGAAAAGGGAAGGACAACTCCGTGAAAGTGGGAGCGGGTACTTGTCAAATTCAGATACCCGCTCCACCTCCCTCCCCAAAGGTCTGCAGTCTCTGGTCATCCCCTGCACTGTCTGCAGTCTCTGGTCATCTGTACTCTGTCCCTGGTATTTTCCCTGTACCATGTCTGCAGTCTCTGGTCATCTCCTGTACTGTGTCCGCAGTCTCTGGTCATCCCCTGCACTATGTCTGCAGTCCATTGGTTCAGAATATTTTTTCTTCTTGTTTTTCGCCTCTAAAACCTAGGTGCGTCTTATGGTCAGGTGCATCTTATGGATCGAAAAATACGGTATCAACTTAAAGAGCATGGACAGGGTTTTTTAATGTCAGGTAATATCACTTTTTTTTTTTTATACATTCAATGTATAAACGCATTGTAATATGAATCAGCTTAAAAAGGTTATTAAACCCAAAAGCAAAAAAAAAAAAAAAAAAAAAAGTACAGTTTACCCATCCTATTTGCATTGGTTTTCTTTTATTTTCCCCTTGTGATCCAGCCAGCAACACACTTCCTGTGTTAGGTTGTTTGTACTCTGGATGGAGGAGCAATGGAAAACAGCTTTGGGTAGTGTTCATACTAGCAGATTTAAATGGACTTGATGAACACACCGAAGCTTAACTCCAGCAAACACTTTTAAGTGGTCACAGCAGTCTTTAGTTTTTATTTATTTTAAGTTTAAAGGTTTTTGTTAATAAATAAAAAGTGACCATTCTAAGTGCCCCTCTCAGTGGTAAATGGTTTGTCTCAACACACTGCCACTTTTGCTGGACAGCTTGGTTTGCTAAGGATAGTTGAAAATTAACAGACTTACTGGCTGGATTTACAAGTATATAAGAAAAACGAATGCAGCAATCACATTTAGGGATTGATCAGCTGAAATAAAATACATTTCTTCTTTAACAATGCTTTAATATTGCTTATAAGCAAATAAATAACCAAAAGAATTTTTTTGCTACCTTCTGTCTTTTGTTCCACCCAGGTATTAATTTCTTTTCTACAGTCCTCTGCCTTTCCAGAAAAGTCTACAGCCTGTAAATCTGCATGATAGTGTTTTTGAGTTGATCCAAGAAAATCCTGAAAAATTCAACCGCATTAATAGCAACAATGCAGAAAAAGAAAACAAAATGTTGTAGATAGTCATAGTTTTCTAGGCAAAGCAAGAATAAAAGTTACTGTTACCACCTAACCAAAATAAAAGCCAATACATTTTGAGTGACATGGTCAGAGCTGTTGTGCTTTGGCTTGAAAGTATCTGACCAGTGGTGGGAAATGTTGCGGATAGAATGAAGAAGCATTAGAACCAGGCTTATACTGCTATCTGGGACTGCATTAGAGAGCTTGGTCCTCACTTACTGTCGCAGGGACTGTGGCATCACGACTAGAGGTCAGGGAATATATACAACAGGGACAGAAACAAAAATAAAAAGCTGGCTGAGGTTGAAAATTTTACACACTATTACGGAGCTCAGAAACCTGTAGATCGCTGCCAGGTGACTGGTAGGTTGCAGTTTGGGCTTGCTGACCCGCCATCTCAGAGCATCAACGAATGCATTTTCAGAAAGTGCACCACACCTGCAGGATATAATAGAAGTCTATGGCGAAGCACTGCTAACCCAGGAAAGTCGCAGATGCCCTGCACTACACCTGCGGTGCAGGTAATCCACAGCACACAAGTGTGAAAGCAGCCTTATAGGGGGCTCAGAATAGTAAGGATTTGTTTACATTTGCAGTTAAGGGGGGGGGGGGGGGGGGGGGGGGGGGGGGGGGGGGGGGGGGGGGGGGGGGGGGGGGGGACAGTAAAATCACAAAGTTTAGGTATGTTTACCACTCCTGCCCTAACCCCACCCCCTTGAGCAACAGTGGCCAGGTGTACACATGTCGCAGCCACACCAGGAGTTATATGCCCCGTCATGGTTGGTGGGTGTAGCATCAGCAGCTAAAGGGAGTAGGGATTGGGGGGGGGCACGATTAAACTGCAGTGTTTTACCACCCCCCAACTTTGTATGAATGAGCCCTATGGGGGCCACTGTCAAATGCAATTATGGGCTCATTCACAAGTGCAGCAAACACTGCTGCTCCTCTGAAAAGCGATCTGAGTGTGACAGGTGCTGAGGTGATATGTTGCCTCCTCACCACCTGATTCAAACCCACCATGATTCCTGTGCAACGTTTGCAATTGCAACACGTTTAGTACAACAATAAGAAGGTCTAAATCAGGTGTGAGGAGGAGACACTGTGCCCGGTGATCTTTGACTTCTCCCATGTTGTTCAGGTAGATCTCTACCTCTAAGTTTGCCTACCATTGCTCTTATACACAAAAAAATTCTGTCTGTCCTTCTGAAGAGAGATCAAGATTATGCAAATGGAGCTTATGATGAAAAAATGCATATGGGCCTTGTCAATGAGCTTTTGTTTGCTTTAAACAGGTTTTGCATGCCCACCCAAGTTAATGAAGCAGGTCAACTGCAAGTCAAACATACAATATATTGCCAAACGTAATGAGATATCTCCCCAAATCATTGGATTCAGGTGTTCCAATCACCTCCATGGCCATAGGTGTATAAAATCAAGCACCTAGGCATGCAGACTGCTTCTACAAACATTTGTGATAGAATGGGTCGCTCTCAGGAGCTCAGTGACTTCAAGCGTGGTACTGTGATAGGTTGCCACCTGTGCAATAAGTCCATCCATGAAATTTCCTTGCTACTAAATATTCCACAGTCAACTGTTAGTGGTATTATAACAAAGTCAGAGCAACTGGGAACAACAGCAACTCAGCCATGAAGTGGTAGGCCACATAAAATGACAGAGCGGGGTCAGCGCATGCTGAAGTGCACAGAAGTCACTGTCTGCAGTCCATAGCTAAAGACCTCCAAACTTTGTGTGGCCTTCAGATCAGCAAAACAGTGCGTAGAGAGCTCCATGGAATTGGTTTTCATGGCCGAGCAGCTGCATCCAAGCCTTACATCACTAAGCGCAATGCAGAGCATTGGATGCAGTGGTGTAAAGCACGCTGCCACTGGACTCTAGAGCAGTAGAGATGCGCTCTCTGGAGTGCCGAATCACGATTCTCAGTCTGGCAATCTGGTGGACGTGTTTGGATTTGGTGGTTGCCAGGAGAATGGTACCTGCCTGACTGCATTGTGCCAAGAGTAAAGTTTGGTGAAGGGGGGGGGGGGGGGGGTTATGGTGTGGGGTTGTTTTCAGTGGTTAGGCTTGGTCCCTTAGTTCCAGTGAAGGGAGGTCTTGAGGTGTCAGCAAACCAAGACATTTTGGACAATTTCATGCTACCAACTTTGTGGTAACAGTTTGGGGTAGGCCTCATCCTGTTCCAACATGACTGTGCACCAGTGCACAAAGCAAGGTCCATAAAGACATGGATGAGCGAGTTTGGAGTGGTGGAACTTGATTGGCCTGCACAGAGTCCTGACATCAACCCAATAGAACACCTTTGGGGTGAATTAGAGCGGAGACTGTGAGCCAGGCCTTCTCATCCAACATCAATACCTGACCTCACAAATGTGCTTCTGGAAGAATGGTCAAACATTCCCATAGACACACTCCTAAACCTTGTGGACAGCCTTCCCAGAAGAGTTGAAGCTGTTATAGCTGCAAAGGGCGGGGCCAACTCAATATTGCACCCTACAGACTAAGACTGGGATGTCATTAAAGTTCATGTGCGTGTAAAGGCAGGCGACCCAATACTTTTGGCAATATAGTGTACATTAGTTGGGAAGGTTGACTAAAAGACACCAGTCCATTCAGTTCAACCTGTGTCTGTCTGTTTGTGTGTATATGTTTACGTCACTACCAACACTTTTGGTAATATAGTGTATTTGTCAATGACTTCTGAATGAATACAGAAGTCCCTCTTAGGCCCCTTTTAGCACGGTTGGTGCGATTGGGTCCGCCTGCCCATTTGTCAAGCAGCTCTGATCAGACCCTCCGTTCTCCTCTATGAAGCAGCGGATGTAAACTGACGTGTCTGTTTATACTCGCCTACCTCCAATCTGATCTGCTAAAAACTCAAAATGGAAGGGGATCGGTTCCTCTCCATCTGGGTGGATTGGAGGACAGTTGGGTGTAAAACAGACATCTGACTGCCCACAGAGAAGAGCGGGCTGTATCTGTGTTCTTTCTGCATAAGCAGAATGGACACAGACCTGTGATCCGCCTGCTCTGCTCAGCAGGGGATCAGCAGACAAATCCCTTGCTCAGTAACATGGAGTCCACCTCATGTGAAAGGAGCCTTAAACTGATGTGAAACTGATGCCAAGAACATGATCCTTAAGCACATCGACACAGGTCTTCTGCATCTATAATTGAGCATCTAAAGTTGATCTTGCCTTCCCACTTCTTTCATGTGACTGTTGGTATCAATAACCAATATAGAAGTTGGGAACTGGGAGGGGACTGGATAAGCTATTTTTTTTCTCAATAAAATTAGTACATCAATATATCTGCCTATATTTCTGGATCTACTACTTATTTTGGTATGTAATTTAATTAGCAACAAATGGTGCTTGTTCATCAAATGGGATGAGTATGAAAGTATGTTTCTATGCAGTGGCCAGTTTTAATACATCAACCCCATTGGAAGATGCAATCCATATGTGAACTTAAACCCTACTGGGAGATGAAATCAGTATATGAGGCTGAAATTAGGGGAAAAACATGAGCTCCATTTCACTTCAAATATTGATCTTTCATTAAACTACAGGATTGGGAGGCTCAATTATGGTTTAGTCTCTTTAGAATTTTTACAGAGAATACAAAAACTGCCCATTATTGTTATCTAAATCCCTCCATAGATGGATCAGAATTCGGCCAGTTCAGCAGAAAACAAACGAATTTCATCAATGGGCAGCTGGTTGTAGTGAAGTTGGAGGGGGCAGGAGCGGCTGGCTGGGGTTCTCAGCATGTTGCTGAGAGGCTGAGCCAGCTCTTGGTCCAGAGCCTAGACAGACTGGCTGAGTGACGTCAGATAACAGTGGGCTTTGGCCTGCTGTTGGCTGAAAACGTGTCAAACCAGTGCAGAACAAAGTGCACTCCTGTGATCCATAGGAAAAGTACAGCCAAAATAGCTTCAGCCATACTTCTCTCTTTTAACCTGTCTGAAGACCAAATGGAAACAAAAGCAACAGTTACTAGATCACTTATGTTACCATCAAATAAAGGCAAGTAATATTACACCAGCTAAAGCTTACGTCAAGGAAGGTAAATGACTTTTCTCCATAAAGACGATTGGCGGTTCTCAAAAGGTAATCAGTGCCAGGCTTGTTGATTTCAGAAATAAGAGACTGAAATGATGAATGAACATCTTTTGCCTTTTCAAACTGAAGAACCTGGAAAAAAAAAAAAAAAAAAGAAAGTTACAATCAATAGCATTGAGACTACATAATACAAATTGTACTGTGGCCTGCACGTAGGCTGGCTATACACTACTACAATTTTTGTTTTAGGAACGTTCAATTTAATGTAAGCCTTAGTGGGGGTCAAATCGATGCTTGTTGGCAACCACAGTGAAAAGAAAGTTGGAAGGAGCAGGAAGAAATGGTTTCTCAAAACGAACACGTTTCTATCATGAATGTGGTTTTCGCTCAGGAAATTACATTAATTTCAAAATAGAATGTTAAAAGTCAATAAAATTTTAAAGTACTTTCGAACGACATTAATCCAATCATCAAATGTACTGTACAAAAATGTTTGTACAAAGGTTCATACAAAATATCTACCAGTATATAGCCAGACTTACTGCTAAATATACTACAGCTTTCTGAGTTAAATCTAAATTACAGAAAAACTTTAGCGGTAAAATGACGGTAAACCCAAAACCTAAAATGTATTATATTTCAGCTTACCAATCATTAGATGTGGGGGCTGCAATAGTTTTTTTTTTAGGCTTCTTTTCTTCTGTTTTTACCTGGTGATCTGGCCAGTTACACACCTCCTATATTAGAATGCCCCCACTCTGGATGAAGAAGCACAGGGCACCTTCGGATAGGTACATTGTCAATCTGGGGGGAGGGGGTGTTAGATGTACTAGTAGATTTAAATACACTAACAAATTCAACTTACTAACAAACTTACTAAGCAGTTACAGCAACACCTTTACATAAATAATAACAGCTGATCACTGTAAGCACTCGTCAAAAGTAAATGGTTTGTTTCAACCCTTTAACTGCTACATCTGCAGGACAGCTTGCTTTTGAAAAAGAACAGACTTACTGGCTGGATCACCAGGTGAAATATAAAAGAAATAAATCCTAAAATAGAAAACAAAATGCAATAAGATAGAGGAAAAATGATGTAGCACTACTCAGATGGATAAAAGAATAAATCACATATCATAAACTCATATATGTGCATAATTAAATCAATAAATAAATTTAAAACAATATATAAAGTGACGCAAAGTGCAAATATCAAATGTAATACTTTGCTACTTTTTATTACATCACCCCTGATCTCTCTCCCTAACCTGACTAACCTTTTGAAGACTATTTGGTCAGGTCTCAGGCCTCCAGGTGAATGAATACAAAATTGGTCGCAATAAATATTAATCTTCCTTTGCCTTTAGTATCCCAACTACAGGAGGCGTTATTCACCTGGAAGACAGACTTTGTGCCATATCTAAGGATCCGTCTGACGCCCTCTTTGTCCTCTTTATACAGGGTAAGTTTCCCCCCTTTAGGAAGTTAGAGGGCCTCCAGGGATGGGCGATCCATGATCTATCCTGGCTAGGTAAAATCCCCTCAGTTAAAATGACCCTATTGCCACACATTTTATGCCATTTCCACTCCCCACCAATAGCAATTTTTCATGCAGACCTATCGAAATTTCAGTCCAAAATCATTCGCTTTGTATGGAGCGGGAAGGGTCACAGGCTTTCCAAACAGGTTCTTTTTGCCTATAAAATAGCTGGGGGGCTAGGCCTTCCCAATCTGGCACGATCAAGCCACTCAGGTCGGCCAGTTGTCAGTAGTGTATTCCCGTTTTGAGAAACCCAACTGGGTCTCTATGGAATGGAGGGCAGCCAATATGGTTCCGCTAGATTTAGTCAAATGGCAACCTGCAAGCCAGGGGGTGCCCATAATAGCCCCCACTCTATCCAACTCCTTGAATGTTTGCGATAGAGTGCAAAACAATTCCAAATGCAGTCTTTTCAACCACTGCCCCACCTTTTCAACAATCCTGCCTTTCCCCCGGGTCAAGATCCAGAGGCCTGTCAATGGTGGCTGAACTAAGGCTTGTATTGGATTGTTCATTTTTTAAATGCCCAGTGGGCCTTTTACTTTATCACACTGCCGATTGAAATTAAAGATGCCTCACTCTGAAACCTTTTCGATGTTATCAAAATTTCTTATTTCCTACGGTCCTTGGGCCCAGCAGTCACTAAAGACCCTAAAGTCACCCCTTACAAATTATGGTGTACAAGGGAGGCAGAGCATAAGGGAGGGATATCAGTCATCTACAGGTTACTGCTTGCTCCTAGACAACAAATTTCCTTCTATGCGCGAGTGGGACTAGGATTTAGCCTCTAATGTAGATCCTTCGATGTAGTCCTTCGATGTAGAACACTCTGCTTTCCACTTGGCCTACAAGGGAACCAGATGGTACACAGTCCCTCATCTCTCGAGACTGTACCTGACCTCCTTGCTCCTATGTTTTAGGGGCTGTCACATACTTGGCACCATGTACCATATATGTTGGGAGTGTCCAAAACTGCGGGGCTTCTGGAATAGGTTATTTGCTTTGATACACAAGGTCTCAGGGATTTTGGTTCCACAATAACCACTCATTGCTCTACTAAATGAACCGGTAAAGACTTACCCTACCCCAAACTAAAGCTAAGCTTTTTTATGTTTTTGGTTGCCGAACTCACTATAGTCCACTCTTAGAAGAAGAAACCCTCTATTTACATGTCTGTATATAGACGCAAGGTCTCCGGGATTATGCTAAATGAACCACACTATTGTGCTCGCTGATACCACCAAACTATTTGAAGCTGTCTGGGAACCCTGAGCCAAATTGTGTCCATGTTGAGTTGTAAAATCCTGGTGCCCCTTAGGATTTATCCATGCAGGACTACCCATGTCTCCTTTCCTTTGGGATTCCCTTTCTTCCTTCCTTTTCTTGCTTCTGATTTTTTGTGCTCTCTTCTGTTTGTCTTAGTCCTCGGGGCCGAGACAGGTAGCCTGATATAGGTGCGACATAGGTTTCTTTGCTAGATCTAAAAGTTTGAGATTCTACTTTTACACTAATTACCTAACGTTTACTGTCTACTCAGAGTTTTGACATCTTTTTTGGTCACAGTCATGGGGAGACGTACATTGTTGTTCTTTAATGTCAATCTAGCTCCCCTAGATCCCTTTCCTTATTGGCTCTTTGTGACCTCTGAACATTTGTTCCAGAGCTCTGGCCATTGTATTTTCTGCAATGTTGTCTATTGATGCCTTTTTATTGAAAAACATTGATAAAATGCCTAAAAGCAAATTTAATTTAATAACGCAGTTAAGACAGATATACATGTAGAATCTGTGTCTCCAGACCTGACTAGCAGTTGGGGTAGGTTACATGGTCTTGAAAATATTTATCCACAAATGTGAAAGGCCAATATCCCAGTTGGGTGGAGGAGGAGGAGGGGCCAGTAGTGGCTAACAGCAAAATGAAATAGTGCAAGTGAAAAATTGAAAAACAGGTTCACAAAATATGTGGCAAAGGAAAAAAGGTTCCTCGGTTGGTGCAGTCAGCGAAAAAAAAAAAAAAAAGTCCCTGCGTCAGTAGTGTAGTCATCGAAAAAAAAATGTTCCTGAATTGGTGATGTGACTGGAATGAAAAAAAAACAAATGTCCCTGAGTCAGTGGAGCGGTAAGTTGCTCATTTTATTTTCTATAATTCACCATCTCAGATTGCCATGCCATGCTTTATTTCTTCTGTGTATCAGTTGGTGCACGGCTCTAATAACCCTGCAATACTGCGGGTTGTGGGACAGTTCTGTTTCTTAGAACTATGTCACCCATGCTCAGTGTCTGGACTTTTATACAGCTGCAGTGGATATAAAAAGTCTACACACCCCTGTTAAAATGTCAGGTTTCTGTGATGTAAAAAAATAAAATAAATAATAGATAAAAGATAAATAAATTTCAGATCTTTTTCAACCTTTAAATGTAACCTATAAACTGCACAACTCAGTTGAACAACAAACTGAAATCTTTTAGGTGGAGAGAACTAAAAATAAAAAACTAGAATAAAATGGTTGAATAAGTGTGCACACCCTTAAACTAATACATTCCTTTGTTGATTTGGATGTATACTTTGGGTCGTTATGCTGAAAGATGAAGTTCCTCTTCATGTTCAGCTTTCTAGCAGAAGCCTGATGGTTTTGTGCCAATATTCCCTCTACCTTGACTAAGGCCCCAGTTCTAGCTGAAGACAAACAGCCACAACGCATGTTGCTGCCACCACCATGCTTCACTGTGGGTATGGTGTTCTTTTGGTGATGTGCAGTGTTGTTTTTGCGCCAAACATATCTTTCGGAATTCTGGCTTAATAGTTCAAGCTTAGTTTCATCAGACCATAACACATTTTTCCCCACATGCTTTTGGGAGACTTCAGATGTGTTTTTGCAAAATTTAGCCAGGCTTGGATGTTTCTCTTCGTAAGAAAAGGCTTCCGTCTTGCCACTCTACCCCATAGCCCAGACATATGAAGAATACAGGAGATTGTTGTCACATGTACCACACAGCCAGTACTTGCCAGATATTCCTGCAGCTCCTTTAATGTTGCTGTAGGCCTCTCGGCAGCCTCCCAGACCAGTTTTCTTCTTGTCTTTTCATCAATTTTGGAGGGAGGTCCAGTTCTTGGTAATGTCACTGTTGCGCCATATTTTCTCCACTTAATAATCACTGTCGGCCATGGTATATCTAAAGCCTTGGAAATTCTTTTGTACCCTTCTCCCGACTGATCCCTTTTAACAATGAGAACCCTCTGATGCTTTGGAAGATCTCTGCAGACCATGGCTTTTGCTGTAGGATGTGACTAAGAAAATGTCAGGAAAGACCTACTAGAACAGCTGAACTTTGTGGTTAAATCAGAGGTACTTTAAAATGATGGCAGGTGTGTACTGACTCCTATTTAACATGATTTTGAATGCGATTGCCTTATTCTGAACACAGCTACATCCCCAGTTATAGGAGGGTGTGCACACTTATGCAACTACATTATTTTAATGGTTTATGTTTACTCCCCCCTTAAAAGATTTGTTTGTTTTTCAACTGAGTTGTACAGTTTATAGGTCACATTAAAAGGTGGAAAAAAAGCTCTGAAATTATTTATCTTTGTCATTTTTTTACACCACAGAAACCTGACATTTTAACAGGAGTGTGTAAACTGTTTATATCCACTGTGTGATCACCTACATGACCTGTCAGGCATTAAAGTCTCCCAGTTCTACTCCTGCATGGTGATGTATTCTGTTTCTTTGATTGATTCTTGGGGTTTGTAAGATTCTGGTCCCTGGGAGATTGGGCATTTCTACATTGGTTTAGTTTGTTCTGTTTCTTTTGTCTTTTTTTTTTTGCTTTGAGCCAATACTGACTGGCTGTGATTATATAATTTGGAAATTTCTATGCATGATTTTTGGGCGATATAATTTTCATCTCTTTTGTGCTCTTAGTGTGATGATTATTATTGTTATTGTCATGGAGCGTTAAAGGGTTTAAATGATGTAACTAAACAAAATTTTGTATGTGCGCACTTAAACATCACTGTCCCTCTGATCAGCTTGCAGGAGACAAAACTTAATGCAGATACCTGCTATATCAGTGGTCTGCAAGTCGCAGCTCGCGAGCCACATGCGGCTCTTTACACACACTTTAATGCGGCTCTTCTGTGTGCCGGGCGCCCGCTCCCCTCCCTCCTCTTGGGCGGCCGCCCCAAAAGTCAGGACTCTGCAGCTAGCCCAGCAATGGGCAAACTACGGCCCGGCGGACCTTTTAATCCGGCCCACGGAGCGTGATCCAAAAAAAAAAAAAAAAAAAAAAAAACAGCCAGGGCAGCGCGCTCAAATACAATGATTGGCCAGTCTCGCTGCCACTCACATCCTGATAGCCAGTGATTGGCTGTCAGGATGTGTGTAGGCGGGGCAGCGTGACGAACGTGAGAGAAGCTAGGCTCCTCTCACAGTCCGCCCTGAAGACCGGAACGGCGCGGGAACACGGCGAGAAGAACGCGCGGAGCAAAGGTAAGTGAATTGACACAGGGGGGACTTGGCTTACTACTTGCTACTTACTTACTACTACATGAGGGATGAATTACTATGGGGGATGAATTACTATAGGGGGGATGATTTACTATAGGGGGGATGATTTACTATAGGGGGGATGATTTACTATATGGGGGATGAATTACTATGGGGGATGAATTACTATAAAAAAACTTATTGAAACTAAAAACAGTGTACCATCCTATGTATTTTCAGTTTTAAAAATGTGGCTCTCAAAATAAATTTCCATCGTGGTTTTGGCGAGATTTGGCTCAGTTGAAAAAAAAGGTTGCCCACCACTGTGCTATATTCTCACTAAAGTGACTATCAAGCGATGTATCATACTTTGTTCTCATCTTAAGTATCTGGATCTCTTGGGATATTGCATTTTCTTGCAAGCAGGTCCAGACAGATCAATTGTCCACTTAGTCTTTCTGCATTTTTATCATTATGCACTTGCCACTGCATATATTCCACTATCTGAAATTTTGTCTGAGAAACTCCCCATCTCCGCATGGCTGGAAATTTTAACAACTTTATTGACAATTCAGTGGATAGATATGTCCTTCGTGAGCGGCATTTGACTTCCTCGTTGACCTAATTTGGTAAGGTGTGTACTGAACTTGGACTTTAGGACTTGTAGCAGCTGCTTCACCCCATGACAACTCCATTCACCTGTTATTCACAATCCTAAAACTCTCTCGAGAACAGACCTCACTTTGGGTACTTTCTGACCTAACTCAATTTGTCAAATTGACTCATTCTTGCTAGTGACCTATGTGACCATTAGACTTTTACGGTAGACCCGAATACTTGTCCTTTGCAGAACTAATGGTGCTTACATTTATTATGGCTAAAGGTTATGGATCAATTAATTGTGTCTTGCCTAACTACTTTGCCTTCTGTTAAGGAGCCCACAGCCTCAGCTGGAGTTTTGTGGGATGCTATGAAGGCTTATTATAGAGGTATACATCTCAAGAGTACTCAGGACTGCCAGTAGGGTTGTTGAGGCAACTGCTAGAAAAGAAATGCTAAATGCAGAAGCTGCATATGTTTCTGACCCCCTGCCCTGATAAGCGTCTACTTTTGACTCAAAGCTCAAAAGCAGTTGGAGATATTGGAAATTCATTAAGTGCATAATAATTATTTCATAAACATCAGTACTGATAGAAGATGAGATGCTTGTTGGACCAAATAACATGCTCACAACAACAAAAGAGACCCTATATACAAGATTTACAAAACCTGAATGGCCAACTGCCTAATGACTTCTCTAGCATGGACGACATGCTTCATGAGGTTTATAAACATGATAAAGAGAGGTTACTCCCTACTTGCCTTCACACCATTAATGATGTCCTGTGGACAGGAGTACTTCCATCCTCTGTGAGGGAGGGCATTATAATTGTTCCGCCTAAGACTATTGGCTGACCCCTATCACCCAATTTCAGTGTCTCCCACAGATGTCGAGATATTAGGCTGGTAGTACCGACATTGGTCCAAAAGTCTACTGCCCACAATATTCATAGGGTCTTATGAATTTACAGGTCCCTGTGAAAAATGATGGGAACAAGGTCCATTTGGCCCGAGACTAGGCATACGCATTTAATAGAATTCTGTGTAATTACCTCTGAGCAATTCTTGGTTAATTTGGTTTTGGTCCCAATTATCTCAGGTGGGTAAGTTTATTACGCACACTTCTCCAGATGTACATTAATAGTAAATTAAATCTATTCCACCATTTTTGCTTTGCACAGGGGCACCTGCCAAGGACATTCCCTTTATCCCCTATAGTTTGAATTAGTGATAAAACCCCTAGTGGTTCTAATTCAATAGTCGACTCAGAACACAGAATTTAGAAGAGATATGGAAAAAGACAAAGTGGCCATGCATGCTAGTGATATGCCTTTATTTTTGTCAGATACCCAATCTTGCATGCAGTGTTTCTTACTGAGGGTTTGGGCAAAGTGTGTAGCCCAAGCCCCATCATCGCTTAGTGAATGGTTTGAAATTACGTGTTCAGCTCTTGCTTTTAAGAATTTACATAACACAAGTTGTAGGAAGAAATGTGCCACCATAGATGTTCTTTGCCTGAAAACCATAGTATTGGGCTCTGATGTAATGTAAAATGAGCTCCTGCTTGTAATATTCTATTTTTTATTACAATTGGCCTACATATTGTATTTAGGGGCAACACTATTGATAAAATCTGTTTTAAACAAGAAAAGGTAACTATATTTTAAGGTCTGCTATTGGAGAGAATATGCTAAACTACAATCTGTTTTACAATGGTGAAATGTGTTTATTATGGTTAAAGGTTAAGTTCACCTTTGAAGAAAAAAAAAATAAAAAATAAATAAATGTGCAATTGTTTTTTTTTCACTGAAGCCTGCACAACACTGTGCCTGAGAGCAGTGGATCACATGTGCTATGTCAGGCTGCTGCAAACACTGCCTGAACTGAAAGTTTCCTATATAAATGTTATAATTTATTTTTTTTTGTATTTTGCAATCATTGATTGCATAATGTTATACAAAGAAGAAAAAAAAAACAAAAAACAAAAAAAAGAGCACAACGGCAATATAAAGATGAGTTAAATTGCACACACTTCGATGAACAAAAAAATAAAGTTTCTCATATGGTACTACCATTGTAACCATACCTTTTTACATTTTACAATACAGAGGAGACATGTTTGTCCATTTATATCTATCCGCTCATAGACATATATTATGGTTCAGTATCGATTCATCTGAAAAACAATCATGGATCCAGACTGAACACCTGTGTGAAAAAAAAAACAAAAAAAACAACCCCGGGACACAATCCAAATACAAGCACTCTGTAATTACTAATCAGTTATGTCTCACGTGTCCAGGGTATGCGTATCTTTACTGTGTCACAGACAATTATCTGCTATTGGGTATATTACTGCAAAATTCTATACAGACCTTTGACATCTGAGCAGCAGTAGTTCCTTTGGCTCCCAAATGAATCATTGCCAGAGCCGAGGAGATGCTCAGTGGAGAGAAGAACAAGTTGCATTTTCTATTATTTTCATTCAGCTTCCTAAAGAGATCAATAGCGAAGGAGCCATTTGCTACACTGAGAGATTCCATTTTTTCAAGCCTGCAGAATAAATGAAAAATCAATAAGGACATAATATATCAATTCAAGCTGTACAACATTAGAGTTATTGATTACAGCTGAACTCCAGAAATTATCTTTTTTAAAACCTATATTTTTACAGCTCGGTTACATTTATTTATTCATATCTCACATCTGGAGGGCTGTTGGGGATGCAGAAATTTACTCAAGTAGCCTATTCTACAGTCAGTCAATGTTGGTATTTTCTGGGTGCTGATCGAGCAACTTGCCATCTGTATACTTAACACAGGGGGTCACTTGCTCCGCATGTCCTCCATTCAGAGAATGTCTTGTATCTTTTCTTTCAATGAGGTGTTTTCTGATTGAATAAAGTGGTGATGATGATGTCATCCACCCCCTCAGCCATTCAGAGAAGGTGTTCCCTGATTAGAAGAGGAGCCAAGCAAGCGATCCTGTTTTCAGTATACAGACGGCAAGTCTCTTCAGCAGCACAAGGAAGAGACCAGTGCTTATTGCAGCACAGGCTATTACATTGAATTTCTGCATCTTCAATGGCCCTCCAAGTGTGAGATATGAAGAAACCAAGAGGAACCATAGTAAAATTATTATTTTTTTTTTTATATAAGAAGATTCCTGGAGTTCAGCTTAAACAAAAAAAATAAAATTATATATATACACATATATATATATATATATATATATATATATATATATATATATATATATATATATACACACACACACACACACACACACACACACACACATATATATATATATATATATATATACACACACACACATATATATATACATATACATATATATACACATATACACATATACATATATACACACACACACACACACACACACACACACACACACACACACACACATATATATATATATACACACACACACACACACACACGTATGTGTATGTGTATGTGTATGTACATACATACATTTTTTTTTTTTTCCATATATCCATCCACACACAGTATTGGGCAGACGGTCTAAGCAGTCATGAAAAAATACTGTAAATTAGGAATGCTTTCAAAATTAGATATTTTAAAATGTTTATTTTTTTCCAATTTTCAAAATGCATAATACAAAATGAGCAAACAGAAGAAAAATCTAAATCAAACCAATATTGTGTGGGACTACCATTGGCTTTAAACCAACATCAGCTCTTCCTAGGTATACACAGTGCTTGAAGGAACCTGGTAGTTAGGTTGTTAAAAAACATCTAGGAGAACTAACCATGGATCATCTGTGGATATAAACTGCCTCAAATGCTTCCATCTCTTCATGTAATCCCAGACAGACTCAATAGATGTTGAGATCAGTGCTCTGTGGGGGCCAAATCATCACTACAAGGACTCCCTGTTCTTCTTTATGCTGAAGATAAACTTATCCTGTAAGAACTACCTTTTGGAAAAAAATAAAATGCACTTTTTTTTGCAGGTAAATATGTGCATTTGTTTTTTTTTTTTTTGCCTGAAGGACCCTGTAAAGCATTGCAACAATGATCAGCAGATTTCTGATGCCATGTAGGTCTCCTGCAGATCTGTCAGTATATCTGCTTTCCCGACAGGAGGAATGAATGAACTACCACGGTGCTTCATAACACTGTGGTAGTTAATTGAGCACTACAAGCTGACAGCCGCTAAGGCTGTCAGGACTTGCAGTCTCTTATTCCCAGATGACTGCAAATGAGTGACGGGGCTGTGTGGGCGGAGCCCCGAACGGCCACGTTTGTTTTTAAATTTAAAAACTAGTGAGGGGCAGAAGATCCCCCGCTAGCTGTCAAAGCAGGGATCGAGGGCCATTCTGATTGTAACAGGTTACACTCTAAATATGGGTATAACGTTGCAAAAGGTGAACTTATCCTTTAACCGCTTCCCATCCACCCTATAGCAGATGTACTACTACAGGGCGGCACAGGTGTGCAAAGTCACGTATATGTACGTGATTTTGCATTTCCGGGTAGGGGGCACGTGCACACCCTACCCACGCCGCCAATCACCGGGTCCCACCCGGTGATTACTCGCCAGGGCCCGGCGATTTCCGAGCATCTCCGGCGGGGGGGGGGGGGGGGGACTGTTTGTAAATAAAAAACAGTTCTCTCCCCCATTAGCTCCTCACACTGCTTTGCATAAACATTTGTAAACGCTATAACTTTCACGTAATCCAAATTAATTTACACATATTGGAATTTTTTTATTCTTAGCAAAGACACGTAGCAGAATACACTTTGGCCTAAATTTATGCCGAAATTTGATTCAAATTGTTTTTACTGGACATGTTTAATAGCAAAAAGTCAAAAATATTGTGTTTTTCTCAAATAAACAAACAAAAAAAAACCCATGCACAGGCGATCAAATACCACCAAAATAAAGCTCTATTGGTGGGAAAAAAAAAAGGATGTAAATTTCATTTGGTTGCAGTGTTGCATGATTGCGCAATTGTCAAAGTAAGGCAGCACCGTAACGCAAAAAATAGCTTGGTCAGGAAGGAGGGTAAATCCTCAGGAGGGCAAGCGGGTAATGACACTGGCTGTACTGGCTGGTCACCATTGATCTTGACCAAATCTCCAACTCCATTTGCAGAAATGTAGCCCCAAACTTACAAGAAACTTCCACCATGTTTCACTGTTGCCTGCAGTCACCCATTATGCATAGTTGAGTCGCTTAGCATTGTTTCCGTGTCAGAGGTACGTTTTTTGGCCGCAATTCTTTCATGACGACCACTTCTGGCCAGACTTCTCCAGACAGTTAATAGGTATACCTGGGTCCTACTGTCACTGCTGGACATCTTCGGATGTCGAAGGAAAGTAAGCATTATGTGTCTTTAATCTGCTGCAATAAGTTTTCTTGGCCGGTCACTGTGTCTACGGTTCTCAAACGTTGCCCGAACAATGGTGTCCTCAATGCTGAGAAATACAGGCAGATACTAGTCTACCATACCATACCATCAGGGAGGCATGTGTCTGGTCCCAAATTTATTCATCAGCAGGACAACAATGTAATTAAGAACTATCTTCACCGTAAAGAAGAACAAGGAGTCCAGGAAGTGATTGTTTGGCTGCCACATAGCCCTGATCTCAACATAAAAGGAGTCTGCCTGGGTTTACATGAAAAGACAGAAGGATTTGAGGCAGCCTACATGCAGATATATGTGATTAGCTCTCCAAGATGTTTAGAACAACCTAACTGCCGATTCCTTAAAAAAACTGTGTGCACAAGCACTGTGTACCTAGAAGAATTGATGCTGGTTTGAAGCAAAAAAGGATCCTCACACCAAATATTGATTTGATTAGATTTTTCTTCTGTTCACTCACTTAGCATTTTGTAAATTGATAAAACAATTAAAATATATTTTTTTTTAAAGCATTTTTCACAACTGCCTTTGCACACTACTATATACACTACTCAAAAAATTAAAGGAACACTTTGAAAAAACATCAGATCTCAATGGGGATAATATCATGCTGGACTGGGCAATGTGTTAGGAACGTAAGGATGCCCCAACGTGTGATGGAAATGAAAATTAAGCTACAAAAAGGAGCGAATTCAAAGACACCCTGAAAATCCAAGTGAAAAAATGATGCAGCAGGCTAGTCCATTTTGATGAAATTTCATTGCAGCAACTCAAAATGGTACTCAGCAGTTTGTATGGCCCCCACGTGGCTGTATACATGCCTGACAATGTTGGAGCATGCTCCTAATGAGATGATGGATGGTGTCCTGGGGTATTTCCTCCCAGATCTGGACCAGGGCATCACTGAGCTCTTGGACAGTCTGAGGTGCAACCTGGCGGCGTTGGATGGACCGAACCGTGATATACTAGAGGTGTTCTATTGGATTTAGGTCAGGAAAGCATGGGGGCCATTCAATGGTATCAATTCCTTTATCCTCCAGGAACTGCCTGCATACTCTCGCCACATGAGGCCGTGCATTGTTGTGCACCAGGAGGAACCCAGGGCCCACTGCACCAGCGTAGGGTCTGACAATGGGTCCAAGGATTTCATCCAGATACCTAATGGCAGTCAAGGAGCCATTGTCTATCCTGTAGTGGTCTGTGCATCCTTCCATGGATATGCCTCCCCAGACCATCACTGACCCACCACCAAAACGGTCAGACACGTTAAAGCCCAAATGAAGTATCATGTGTTTTGCCCTCCATTGCAAGTGCTCTATGCTGGCATAGAGGAGCAAGAGCACAGATCTACATTGTAGAGAGGGGATGTGGCAGACTATTTCTGTTAGTGATGCAGTGGGTCTATATCTGATGCCAGTTCAACTGCACAGTCATATTTAGGAAAACAGAGGCAAGTATTTTTAAATAGAGGTTGTTATGGGGCGGCGGGTGGATGTGATGGCTGAGAGTTGTGGTGCCACTTGTGGGGGTGCGCAATCTTAGTGTTGCCTAGAGCAGCACAATGAGTAAATATACCACTGCCTACAGGTTCTTAATGAGCTATGACGGCGCTGGGAAGTGCTCTCGTAGTCCATTGATCTGCCTGCTCTCAAGCAACTGTGTACTATGGGCAGACAGCTATGCTGAGAGTCTGCAGGAGCCAAGGATTGCACCCATGATCTGCTGATCGTGGGTACAATACTCTCCAGGCTCCTTAGAAGAAAAATAATAAATGCACATTTTTGCAAAAAAGTGCAGCCAGTTTTTTTTTTCAAAAAAGGTGAACTTATCCTTTAACTTTTTTCAAGGAAGGAGTGGGCGGATCCTCGTCAGAAGCTTTTTTTAACAGCAGCTCATCCCAAAGCTCAAAACCAATAACCCCTTGCATGCTGGAAGTTTAGCCACAGGAAATGGGCGGAGCAGCCCATCAGTGAAGATTTCTCCAGGATCCAACCTGCAGGACATTGGGCATACATCATATCAGGTAAGTTACCTCAGTAAAGCTATAGAGACAAGAACAACTGCAAAATTCAGCTTGTTGGGGGTGGAGGTGCAAGGGTAACTTTTTTGGCCTGCCTGGAGTGGG